GCTGGCCGGACATGGGGAGGGATAATGCAGCTGCCCCTAGCACGGCAGAAATGAAGAAGATGCCAAACCAGGAGATTTGCACAAACATTCACTCGCCAGGCTCCATTCCAGCCCAAAAGGAACTTTTCTCCATTTTATTTAGGCATGCAAACAGAATCTGCTGCCAGAACAAGTCTGCACCCACAGAGACACCAGCCATATCAGCAGGCCTAAAGGCATGTACACCGCTCCCAGCAATGCACTCCTTAGCTGGGACAGCAAGGAGCACCAGGAGCAGCAATCTGTGACAGCCATTAAAGAGCACCAGGATCGCAAGTGTGAAGCCCGGAGAAAAGATGGTCTCCACCGTAGCCCCACACGTGGCTCCCCTGCACCCCAAGGGCCCTCAAAGCCCATCTAGGCTGCCTGGGCACAAACCTTTCAGACCCGAGGGACCTGCTGCTAGACCAGCACCCTAAAGCCTGTCTTTTTGGCAATGGACTGCCAGAGATGTGTCACATCTGTCCTCCTCCACCACCTGCAGCATGTCCAACTGAGTCTAGCGACCAGGTGCTGCATGGCCTGGGCCCAGGAGATTGTGCTGCACGTTGCTCCTGGTCACCCAAAACACTCCTCTCCATGCTATGGGGGAAGCTGATCAGCGTAGGGCCCGCAGGGGCTGATGCATGCCCTGGACCATCACAACTGCCCCCAACCTTGCTGGGGAGACGTGCCAGGAGGCAGCATGGCCCAATACACTCAGAGCACTACTGGGAGCCAGGAAACTGGCTTCTTACTCCCAACCCCTTGGGCAACCCCCCCTGTACCTCTAATTCCCCTCCCACACTCGGTCAGTCCTGCCTGTTTAGATAATTCAACGCTTTGGCGCAGAGCCTGTCTCTCACTATGCGCGTGCAACACGACACGCGCTGTGATGCCAACTCTAGCCGGGGGTCTGTGCTTCAAATGCTGAATGCAAAAATGTGATCTGACTCCACTTGCTGTCTGTGCACGTTGTGAACTGCATAAGAGGTTTCCACCTGACTGCCAGGATTTGGCTGGAGACTTGTTTGCCACATCTGCAAAGGCAGGACGTCAGACAGGATGGGTTTCCATTGATCTGCCTAGGTTGGGAGCCATACAGTTTCTTCAAATGGGCAGCAGAGTGGGAGGCTTTATGGCATGGGTGCGAGGGGTGATTTTAGAGGCTGCAGGACATACTAACCATCTTACTGAAAACGGTTAAAAATTTGAATCGGCACTTTGTGTTAATGGTAGCCGTGATGAATATGACTTCCCGAGGCACCTGAGCTTACCAGCAGGAGGGAGTGATAGCACAGATACCCCCAGCAGCAAGGAGACAAAGAAGTTGCCGAGCTAAGAGGCTTGCAATTAATTCATTAATGCATGCAAACAGGGCGCTGCTTTGTGTTAAATCTGTTGGCATCTGTGAGCAGAACAAGTGTTTGCCTTCCTTTGTAGCGGAGGTCATGGCCGTCTTCCTGGGATCTCTTGAGTGCATTTGAACAACCCTCGCAGCAGCAGGATGTTGGCTGCTGTGGTTCCCTTGCTTTACCCATGGTGAATTAGGGTGTTGTGTCTAGAGACCACAAGCCCCTCTAAGTGCCGAAATCCATTTGGCAGCTGCATGCGAGACAGCTCTCTGGCCCAGTGGGTCGGGATCTCTGCTGGAAAGTGGGAATGGGGAGCTGCATCTCCACTGCTCGAGGGCCCAAAACTCAGGTCTCCCACGTGCTGGGCAAGGGCTGCTATACAAGGTGGGCATGGCTACCACCCTCAGCCCCCGTTAGGGGCCGACCTTCAAAAGCTTCTTCCGTGATGCCTAACGTGCACCCCTAGGTCAAGTCCAAGGAAGGAGCTCAGAAACACCCCTGTGCTTAGCAGGTCATACCGGCCAGCTCCAGGCCTCCAGGTTCAGCACTTGGTCTATCCATTTAACTCTCCTCTTTACCTGAGGAGCCCAGGGACCTCACCTGATTCCTCTGACTCAGTTTCCCAGGGAAGCCCAGGTAATCTATCCACACTTGGTGGTGCCTAAGGGGCCAATCTGCAATCTGCCCTTGGACGCTCGAGTGAGAGGCACTTTATACGAACCTACGTAGACGAAACCAGTGATTATCAACCATGGTGCCGCACAACCTTAGCATTGTTAGGTGTGCAAACACAATTCACAAGATAAAACCCGAGATTTCAAATAGGAATCCATAGTGATGCTGCCCTGGTGTGCTCTTTCTGAGTTCTCTGCAACAAAAGGATTACTTTAGTATTTTTTCTGCAGTCAAAAACAAGTGACAGCTAAGAGCCGGCATCTTCCAAGGGGTGCCCTGAATCTAACAAGTGTGCCCTGAACCTAAGGAGGGGTGTCTTGAGTCTAAAAGGATGGAGAAACACTAGTCTAGGCATTGCACAGGGCGCCCCTTTGTAACAAACTCCGAGTGTATACAGGCAAACTCCACAGGGCGACTGAAACTCCGGCCCATTGCCACCAGCTCTTCCACTTGAGCTAATGAAGTCAAACCTTTTGCTACAAGGCTCTTCCGGTCCCTGAACCAAGCTGCTAGCCACCTGACCATGCACAGTGAGCCAACCCATCACCCGTGCATGACTGAAGCAAAGTGGGCGAGGTAACTAAGAGCCCAAAGGGGCACTCTTTAAATAAAATAAAGTTGCAATGTTTTCGTGGATTAAAGCACACACATGGTCACTGAAAATATGAGAGGAAGGTCTAGATTCAAGGTGAGACCTCATGTAGAGACCCACCGCCCCACTTCTGCTGATCCTTCACCTTGCTGCATCTGGCTCTGGCTGCTGCCCAAGCTGGACACTGCGCTAGATGGCCCAGAGCTCCCGTCTGGCATTTCATCCTATGTCCTTATCTTAATCGCTGTCCTGCGGTTTCAACAGCAATGCAACAGTGTAGGGATAAGACCTGACGCCATAAACGTGAACCACAAGCAAAGCTGCCTGCTCTAGTTTCATGGTCTGGTCTGGAAATGTATCAGTGGGGAAAAGTCCACAAGTCCGCAGGATCTGCTACCCCGAGCCCAACCAGTCCGGCAGCGTCTCTGACACTGGTCAAGCGAGATGGTTTAGACCAGCGGCCCTCAAACAGATTATGCACCACCGGTTTAAAACGATACCTTAAGTACCACCAGCAAATTTTCAGTTCAACTTTAAGGACCACCAGCAAATTTTTGTCCTATAAAGTACTTATAATAAATCTGTTAACGCGTACCACTGACAGGCCGTCTGCGTACCGCTGGTGGTACCCGCACCACCGATTGGGAACCGCTGCTTTAGAGGAAAGCGTGGGAAGCTTCTTCCTCCCTCCCTCCCTCCCAGACAGACCGGCTTTCTCCTCCAAGCAGGAGAGTTTATCCCTTTCAGACACGCACTGGCTTTCTGAAAATCCTAGATCATAACCTGGCTATCTGCTTGAGCCATATGAATGCCCAATACTTTTTTTGAAGCCTCCTAAATAATCCAAGCGATTACTACTGACACAGATATGGTTGCAGGTGTGGATTTTAGTCTGCCAGTGTCCACTGAAGGAGCTTTGAGCATGATTTTACCCGAAGAGCAGGGGAGGCGTTGACCAGGAGGTGGTAGCCGTGAGTCACCTTCCCTGCGGCGCAGCCCGCTGCGAGTCCAGCACAGCGGTGCAAAGCCCCGAGAGCACTTTGCAGGGCTGCTGCCTGAGCACAGCCAGGGAGGCATCGTACTCTGGGGCCAGAAGTGACTCAGAGGCCCCGCGTCGCAGCAACAAGCACAGCTTCCGCTCGCCGAGTTCCTGCCATTTGCAGGCGCGGGTTTGTTTACTCGATTAAACTCGATTACTCGGAAAGCGGGGGTGGTTTCTGCGGCGGCCTCCCCGACCTCCATCCCCCCCGGTGCGTTCAGACTGGTTGTGGTCCCCAAGCCGGGAGCATCTTCGCTCTCGAGCCAGCCAGATCCCCAGCAGCAAGGCAGATCAATAGGTTGAGACACAGAGGCAGGAAGGTGCACGCAGCTCCTGGGCTCTCCCAACCAGGCTGAAGAAGAGAAGCGTGCATGCTCCAGTGGTCTGTCTCCTCCTGATGCATTTGCAGCCGTGCCTGCCTGGCTCTCGCTATGCTCCCTTTCAGCCAGCATGAGCCCGCGTTACAGCTGGGGCAACCCACGGTCAGGAACGTCTCTCCGTCCCCGGAGGCAGCACAAGTAAGGGCCGCCAAATGGATCCTGCCAGACTCGGCGCTTCTAGGGTACGCCTGCCCTGCATCCCCGGCGTGCACCCTGGCTACCCGCTCCCATTCATCCACCCCCAAACTGGAAATCAGGCAGGGAAGTCACCCTGGGGTGCCCCTCATGAGTGCCCTCAAGTGTGCCAGGGGGAGATCGGGCGCATTCCTCGAACGGTTTGGGTCCCTCATTCCTGGGGTTGGCAAAGGACACAGGAACAGGGTACACCCAAGCAGTACAGATGTGCCTCTACTGTCTTGAAAACCCCAGGAACTAGAAGCCAGGGGTTTGGCCCATCCAAAAGCCACTTGGCGTCCTAAACAACCACAAGTATGAAAAAGTAAGGAGCGGGGAGGTGGCGAATTCACACAAAACTGACTCTTTTGTCTCGCTGCAACTCATTAAAGGCAGTTATCAATGTATTAAACAAGTCTCCGTATGAGAACCTGCCGCAAAGACGTTACGCGAAGATGAACAAGGAGGAGGATGCCCTTCCTATGAACGGCTCATACTCAGAAATAGTTGCAGAATGCCTAGTATAAACTACTTGGGCTGGGTTTTCCTTTCACTTCTCCTGGCTTTACAGCACATAATACTATCAACTTCAATGGACTTGCTTCTGATTCACCCCAGCATAAGCAAGAAGAGAACAAGGACATCTTTTTGCCAGGCAAAGACTACCAGAAATTGGCTGTAAAAGTCATGTCTGATCTCCAAAGCTTCAAGGCAGATGGGTCTAGTTTGAATGGGTTTTTTAAGATACAGAAAAAGGCACTACTCACACAGATTCCCGTTGCATTCAAGGTTACAAGCTTTGGTGCTTCCTTTCCGGTTTTGATGGACGGTATCTGCTCCTTGCAAGTGATCTGAAAAGACACAAGCCACCCCAGGTCAGTCATTTCTGTGCGATGGAGACCTGGTCTCTGGTAGAGCAGGCAGGTCAGGCACGAAGGCCTGGAGCGTCCCAAGGGTAGGTGGTTGTAGCTGTGTTGGCCTACGGACATAGGCAGACAAGGTTCTTTGGGCAGATGTGATCTCTTTTATTAGACCAACCTAACTAAGAAGTTTTTTCCAACTTTTTAGTTGGCCTCATAAAAGAGATCACATCTGCCCAAAGAACCTTGTCTGGAGCATCCCAGTCCATTTTGTGGCCTGTACTATACCAGCAGTTGGACTAGGTCTAACCAACGACCCCTTTTACGGTCATAAATTCTGTGAAACAATGAATACAAAAATCAGCAGACAGCAGATGTGAGAGGCAAGAGTGAAACGAGGCGTGTCAGGTCTGTTGGGCTCATCTACCTGGAAAACCCTATTTGGGAAACCGTTGTCTGGTGGGTACCTGTTAGCGCATGTGCCAAAATGGGTTTTGGCATTAACGGGAGGAGGCGGACAGCAAGGCCACTGCAGGGTGAGGTTAGACAGGCAGTTGTATGATTCAGACCCACCCGTGGTGAAAGCAACCATCGGAAACCTCCCCCACTCCTATTGCCATGCTCCCCACCTTGCTACACACACCCTAGCCCCATCATCTAATGCAGGGGGGGAAAATTCACCTTGCACCCCAGGCCAGATCCGGACCGCAGGGCTCCTTGTGGGCTGGATTCACCCTCGGACACGCGGCAGCAACTCCAGCATCGTGCTTGCAGTGCAACTCCTGCTCTTGTCGTGTGCCCCGTGCCACAGCTAAGGCCACCAGTGCATGCCCCTGTGCCGTGGCGGCAGCTCTACTCCAGCATGGGCCATGGGACATGCAGTAGCAATGGCAGCTCCAGCATGGGATAGTGGTGGGACTAGCAGCCGAGGAACTGGGGTCATGGCAGAGGCAATGGGTGAAGTGACCGGAAGGCAACTGGGGTTGTATCAGCAGCTCTTGCTTGCCCTCCTGCTGCCAACTGCCAGGTCTACCTAGGCCTGGATTTTGTGGCAAGCCACTTCCCCCCGGCCACGTCCCCAACTTCCCCTGGCCGCCAGTAAATGGGAGGGCTGCACAGAGCAGCTCCTCAGGTCAGATCTGGCCTGGAGACCGTACGTTTGACACCCCTGCTCTAATGCATGGTGTCGCTCCTCTGCAGACCATGCACAACCCCTGCAGGCTCAACCACCTATCTTATCTCCAGCTCATTTGTTCCTCCATTATATTTCCTCTTCCATCCCAAATAAAGTTCTTCCCTGAACGGCAGCCGGATTGCGACTCCCTCTCTCCCCTCATCTGGGGAGTTTACCCGATCCCGGGCTGCAGGCTCATGCCTTGTTAGAGGTTTTCCCAGGAAGACCTCCACCTACGGCAGAGCTTGTGCCTTCTCTTGTGGCCTGGCCATCAGACAGCAACACGAACGTGCAGCCTGAAGGACAGAAAAGTCATAGACTCATGGAAAAGCAGGGCTGGCAGGACCCCAGGGAGGTCATCTAGTGCAATCCCCTGCTCCAGACCCTTCTTCCCTAACTAAGTCACCCCAGTCAAGTGTTTCTTGAACCTGCTCTTCACTTCAGAAACCCTCACCCCCAACTGCACTGCTTGCAATGTCAAAAATGCCCTACACCTTGCAGAGGGACGAGGGCACTTGAGGTCCTGCCACTGGAAGTAGCGTGTCAAGAGACCCAAGGCCTCCACGCCAGGTATAATCCAGCGTTAGAAGGTTATTGCCCAAGACTTGCTTCAGACTCCCAAAGAAGCATGAGCCTCCTCTCATACCTCCTCTGGGCATGTTTAAGTGGCCCGTTACCTGCTGTTTGGGTTGGGAGTCACCAGGCTTGGATGTAGAATTGGGCTCAGACACACGCTTGGTGTTAGCTGGAGTAGACGTGGCAGCCCCCAAGGCTGAGTCGGTTTTCAGTAAGGGAGGATCAGCCTTCTTCGTGGTCACATCCTTTTTGTCTCCCCCAGGTGTGCCAACCGTGGCTGCCGATGCTCCTCTGGTTGTCTCAGCCTCTTTAAGCTCTTTGCTTCCATCTTTACTGCCACCTGCTTTAATGAACGAACAAACGAGGCATGGGGGAGTTAGATGGAGGTCCGCAAAACACTAACGGGGGAGAGGCAATGTGAAGGGAAGACTGGTGCTGATCTAGCTTGCAGGTTAAAGATTTCTGTCTAGAAATCTCCTTCATGTTGGTTGGTTGAGTTTTCAAATATCAACCTTGCTGGCTAGAAGTTTGCTGCAGGTTGTTATATGTCCTTCCGGTGAAAGCCTGGCAGTCTGGGGCCTGGAGAAGAGTCCTTTTTCTTACCCAGATGCATTCACAGCCCAACGGGAAAAGCTGGGAGCGCTGTAGTGGTTGGAGCCTCACTAGGAGGGAGAGCAGCCAGGTCCCCGGTGTCTCAAAGGCCTTTGTGCAAGGGGAAGTAGGTGTCCTGATGTACAAACAGATCCCCTGCCCGTGTTACTACTAATTCCCCCTTGGTGGAAGGGGAAAAAAAGGTTAAAAAGTTGTGTCCTGCTCCACCATTTGCTTTTGGCCTCTTCCCAAGCTTTTGTTTGCATTGGACTGGGAGCCCAATACTTCCATGGAAAAGTTTCTGAGGGGTCCCAGGGCTTTGCCGACTCCAACCTGGGGCCGTATCTGAGCTGAGCAGGCCCCTTCCAAAGTCTTTGAAACCAGACACGAGGCTCATGTGGGAAGACAGCCTGGCCAGCCCCCATGAAGGCTTCCCCTGGTCTGCTTTGCCCTGCTAATCATTTAAGGGTGGCTTTTGTGACGTGGGAAGTTATGCACTGGACCCTGGACTGAGAGCCACCAGCTCACCGCGCCCAGGTGCTGTAGGGTTGCCAACCCTCCCAGATTGACCAGGAGTCTCCCAGAATCGGCATCGATCTCCCGGCGACTATTGAAAGCAACCTGGGGGATCGATATCGTGAACGGGTTGAACAGTGCAATTCATGACATTATGTCGTGTTAGCAAAAAAAAAAGCTCCTGGAATAGCTTCAGGCAGAGTTGGCAGCCCTAAGGTGCTGGGAGCGCTCTTTTCAATGCAAGGGGCTACGATAACACCGGCACTAAAGGGGTCCGGGGTCTGGTCAATGCCCATTAGGAGCTTGGATCTAGAAAAGCCTAAAAGTGCTCAGGCTGTAGTTGGAATAAGCACCCTGAAAACCCAACCGGCCCCCAAGGAACAAGACACAACCTTGCTTGTACCTGCAGTGGTTTCCAACAGTGTAGTATTCAGAGTTGGATGCGTCACAGGGTCCTTATCCGGATGGGTGCCAGCTGCCGGAGTCACCCCAGGCACGGTGGGCTTAGCTGCCCTAGGAGCTGATGTGGGGGCTACGTCCACAACAGGGCTTGGTGTGACTTTCCCACCAGAGGAGTTGCCAGGGCTAGGGGAGGGGATTTCTGTGACACGAGAGGAGCTCGTCGTGTTATGGGGGGCACTTTCTGTACTAACAGGTGTAGTTTTCGGGTCCGGGGAGGAGCTCTTCGTGCTGTGGGGGGGCCCTCCCGTGGTAGGAGTGGAGCTTCCCGCACCAGGGCTGGTACTTCCCGGGTCAAGGGAGGAGCTTTTCTGGGTAGTGGAGGGGACTGTTGTGGCATTGGTGGAGCTGTCTGTGCCAGGGGAGGACTTTTTTGTGTCATGGGAGGTACCCACTGAAGTAGGGGAGGGGCTTTGTGTGCTAAGGGAGGTGCTTTTGGGGTCAGAGGTGGAGCTTTTTGAGCTTGAGGTGGAGATTGTTGGGGCAGGAGTGACACTTTTCGGGCTGGGGGTGGAGCTTTCTGAGCCAAGGGAGGTTTTGGTGGCACTGGAGGAACTTCCCAGGACAGGGTGGGAGCTTGTTGGGGCAGCGGTAGAGGAGGAGCTTTTTGTGGTAGCGGAGGTGCTTTCCGTGCCAAGACTGGTGCTGGTGGTGGTAACTGTGGCTGAGGTCGATGCCTCTCCTAGAACAGAAATTAGCTTGAGATGGTGATTTAATCAGATGAAAGTTTGCCTACTGCAAACAGCTCCATTCCCCTTATCCCTCATCACAGACCCGATACCAAGGCTGACACTGCAGTCAAATGACAACGGGTGGGTGCCCAGGCCTTCTTCATTGCTGGGAGCTTTCTACGTGGACAAATCTGATGCATGGGGTGGGCATAAATTGCTCCAAGGACGGGAAGGCTAAAGAAGAGGTGCAGAAAGGGAGCGAAGAAGCCATAAAAGCACAGCAAGGCATCTGGGGGCGAGGGATGCGGGACACAGGAGGCAACATGAAGTCAGCCTGTCTGCCCACAGCTGGACAGTCGACTGTCTTTGTAGCCTCACCCTAAATCGGTCTCTCCAGAAAGGGTCATTTTAATCTTACAGCCATACAGTGATCTCCTGCCACTGCCCAGTCATACAGTGATCTGCCATTGCCCACTTGGCGATATACAGAATAAGAGGCCACAAGCCAAGGTGAGGGCATGCGAGGCAGACAGACTGTCCAAAAGCTAGCTAATGCACTCTAGGTTTTGTCCTGGGAACCAGGACGGTTTTTGCCCCATGGCATGGATGTTGCAGCTCCCTGGTAAATTGGGCCTGCTCTTGTGGCTCCTAAGCCAGGCAGGCTGCATGTCGCTGAGCAAGCCCGGTCGTATCAGCAGTAGACTAAGAGACTGCCTGTGCGCATGCATCGCGCGAAAGTGTTACCCAGCCCTCCCTCACCGCCTAGATGGCAATAAAGGTTGGTTTGTCCATTGGTTTTGCTTCTTTTCATGGTTACAAGAAAGGGTTTTACTTATAAAAGAGAATGAATGAATCATTCGACAGGCCCTTACCCTGGCAGCGAACACCTTCTCCCCAAGGATGCAGGGGTTCGTGCAAGCAAAGAGAGGGGGGAAAAAAATGTCTGCAGGAGCATCGTGTTAAATGACTGGCATCGTCTCACTGGAGAAATGTACTTCATCAAAGTTTGAGGAAGTCACGTCACCCAGGATTTCCACTAGGATGACACTCCCCAAAGACAGTCAGGGCTCGTGGTAGAGGTGATATCTTTAATTAGACCAACAAGAATTTTGCAAAACAATTTATTTCATTGCAAAAAAAAAAAAATTAAAATCTGGAAAGGCAGAAAATTCTCAGCTCCCATTTTTCTGGGTTAGGGGCATCTCAGGTGCTCACCTCCAGACTTTCATCTCTTTCATAACAGCGCCTGCAACCAAAGTCTGCTGCAAGGGACTCTGAGAAAAGCTCTGCGCACACATCCATGGCAGGCTGGGGCTGGAGAGCCAAGAGGAATAAGTGCCCGGTGGAAGAGCCCGTGCTGAATAAGCCTGTTGCACGCTTCGGTGCCTGTTTCTCCTTAGGAGGAGACCTCAGCCAGGGTAAAAGCCCCGTGCTTACTCTTACCTATTGGCATCATCCATTTAGCTCGTGTGAGCGGGACTCGTGATGTTGGTCCCAGAAGTGCTTGGTTCGTTTCCCACCGACAACAGGGGCTGGCTCTCCCTTGCCTTGCACCTGGCCTATTGTTCATTTGGGCTGGAAAGGCTACGGCATTGAACCGCCATCCAAAACGCAGGGCGATGGAGGGGATCACGGCATGCTGTAACTTCAGGCCAATTGGTTTATTCAAGTTCCTCAAGCAAACCCGGGGGGCAGGCCTCTATCAGGAGGCTCAGGCTTTGCTGATAACCCCTGGCGGAGCTGGGGCAGGGTTTTTAACTCTTGGGCACCGATGGTTGGACTGGGAAGAGGCGCGGGGCGGGGTGGGATTGCAGCAGGATGCATTTGGAAAGGCCGCGCGGCGCGGCGCGCAGAAAGAGAAGCCGAGCACAAAAGCAAAGGACGTTCCTCCCTTCCTCCCCAAGCCCGTCTGAAGCCGCCGCTGCCTCCTTGCAGCTTCTGCCCTTGGGTTCATTCTCTGTCTGAGACCCTCCCGCTTTTCTCTCTCTGGAAATCGTCCCCGTCCCCCTCCCCCCTTGACCACTTCACTGGAGCCGCTCAGATTGGCTCAACCTCTATTAATAGCGGGGAAAGGAAGCACAAAAGAATAACCTAGGAAACGGCGGGTGACACCCCTTTTATGACCGGCGGGCAGACTGCCCCTTGCTCCTTGTTGCTGGCTGAAAGCCGCTGCTTCTCCCACAGCGGGATGGGGAACGGAGCTGGGGTCAGGCCATGCGGCTAGTGGGAGCGGAGGCCACGCGCCACCAGGGCTTTGCAAACCTTGAAAAGTTGCTATTTCCCCCTCTGCAGTCTTTCCCGCTTCGTAAAAGGCCAGTGGGTTGAGCTCATCAAAGGGAAAACTGAAATGCGGCCATCACTGGGGTGGAACATGGCAGCGATATGACTGCTCATAAATGAAAATGAAGGCATCTATCATCTACAGGTGCAGCTGGGGAGGAGAGCACTAAATCAGCAGGATGTAAGTGCTCACACAGGCGTCTGGTCGGAGCAACACACCTCTTGCTGACTAGTCTGCTACTGACTGCATGTGGCCAGGACCTCGGGTTTATGTCCCCTATAGAAAAACAGCATCCCCATCAGCTGTGCATCCCTCCTGACCGGGTGCCATTGGCAACCATCATCACACAAATCACTCCACAGGCCAAATGGCGGGGTCTGAATGCAAATTATAGGCAATGCTTTTAACCCTGCAGAAGAGAAGGTGGCTGTATCATAGAAAAAATCTGTACTAATTGGCATTAGCCAACCTAGTACTGCAAGTCCCATTGGTTACAGAAAGCTACCGAATGAATGAAACCCCCTTGCACCTTCTGCTCCAGGCCAATGCGAAATCAAAGCATGCAATGTTCGCCACACAGAACGACTTGGAAACTCTCAGCGAGCCCCCTCGAGGCGCTCTGCTGACAGCAGTTCATCGGGCCAATTATCCGAGGGCTGAATTTGCATCTCGTTCGAAACCGAGCCAGAATGAAAGCTGCCATGAGCCCGCACAGCGCCGCACTGGGAAATATTAAAGATGCTTCCTTGATCTCGCAGGACAGGCCTAGGAAGGAAGCCCACATACTGGGATTCAGATTGAATGCAACGGAGCTTGCTTCAGCGGGGGGGAGAGTGGGCTTCCTTACCGGCCGTGGGGAGGAGGATTCATTTATAAAGACTGTTGGAGCTAGAGCTGTTGAGGGCGAGCAATACCGAGAAATGAAAGAAATAAAGTACACCGTGTCCTCTCCTCCCCTATTAAGTGGGAACAAGGAGGAGGGTGCATTCAATCCAAGGCTGATGTCCAGCAGGCCCTACTAGATAAGCGCTGACAGCTGCACCGCAGGAGAGATGAACGCCAGGCATTCTTCAGACCCGAAAGTGCTTTGCTCTTATCGCCCCGGTTCAGCCCAAAGGCCAGACAGAGGCTTTTGGCATCTGGGGCGTTCAGTGGGCACTCCCTGCAGTGACAGATTTAGGGTTTCTCTTTCCCATCACAGTGTTTCAACAGGCGGTTGTATGCCGTGCATCAAAAAGGCACCACCGGAGATGAGCAAGCATGGGAGTAGCGGTCTGCCGGCACCAGCGCCGAGGACAGCCCTTCCTTCCCAATGACCCCCCGCAAGGCATCAAATAGACGGGACCTCGATGGGATTCACAGGGCTGCCGTTCCCATCTCCGCTACTGTCTTTCTGTGTCAGCTTGCTTATCATCATAAAGGTGGTTAGGTGCTTACATACCTTTGAGCGCGTCAGCCTCGGTGCCTTAGTTCCCTGCCTGTGAAATGGGGAGAAAAATCCTGCCGGGGACAGCCTCATTGATTTAGACTATAAGCTCCTTGGGGTAGAGACTGCCTCTTGCATGGTGTCTGTAACAGCACATCAGGGCCACTAAATGCTGTTAGCATGCCCAACAGGTATGAGCTGCTCTTTGTGGCCTCACACAGACTGCAGCAAGGGGCTGGCTTTCAGCCATGGGCTTTGCAGTGTAGACCCCCTATGCTTGAAACTACCAGCTTGTTTGAGACCCAGAGGCAGGGCCAGGCACAACCTCTGGGTAGCTTTGGGCAACACATGTGCATTCACGGTGTCCCGACTTCCCCCTGCGTATCCTGGGGGTAAATACCCCTTTCTCTCGGGACGCTGGGTGACCCGATGCAAGGGGACAGTGCTGGGTAACTGCTAGCTCCTCATCACCAACCATGCGGAGATAGCTGCAACTTCACCAGCTTGGACCTGGGTGGCAAACACGTGGGGCTCTGTATGGCAACACCAATTCCCTAAGCTAGCCGGGCTCTTACAAGAACTAGGTTTTCCACTGTAAACCAGAGGTCTGCCTTCCTAGTAACCATCCTCTGGGTGATGTCTCCCCTGGAAGAAGTATTCCTAGCTTCCCAAATCCCCTTTACGCAGTGTTTCTGCTGGGCAGGGCAATGAGCCTAGGAAACCCTAGGAGAGGGGCAGGATGGTCCAGTGATTAGGGCCCTAAGCTAGGACTTCAGACACCTGGGTTCAATTCTCTGCCTTGCCACAGACTTCCTCTGTGACCCTGGGTGGGTCTCTTAGCACGTGGGTGCTTCGGGGCCTTGTGCAGATAACCGCACCAATGACTGGAAATCCAGCCGCAGGGCCCGTAGAAGAAAAGAGGGGTAAGAAAAAGCTATTTCTCCCATGCACCCTCCTGTTTCACACTGGAAGGGAACCACGCAAGAGACCCATCGTCCTGGCATGGCCAACAAGCTGCTCTGATCAGCTCAAGCCAGGGCATCGATCCTGGTCTTTCAAGGTGGGTGCCCTTACCATCAGGGAGCTGGGTACCCTCTTGCTGAAACAGGGCCTTGACCTTGCTTCCCCAAATCCCAGGGTAAGGACCCCAAGCCATCTGGTTATTGAGCCAGCCCCTGCTCTTGAAACTGCATCCATATCCTGGCAGCTCTCCGTGCCCCATCTTGAGTGAGCGCCGTAACAAAAGGCAGGGGCGTTTTGCACCTCCTGGGCCAGTGGGTCTCGACCTTTTTAGATTCAAGGCA